TATTAACATCTCCAGCTTAGGCCTTGCCTCTGAGCTCCAGATGTGTCAAGAATTCTCCATATAGCCCCAWACAGATCTCACCTCTCAATTTGCTCCTTCCACCTTCCTCACTCAGTGAGGATGTAATGGCCACTCCACCTTTGCAATCTCTAAGCCCCCAAACCTTTAAGTCGTTTTGATTCCTCTTTCTTTATATTCCATATCTAATCTATAATTAAATCTTTTGTCTCAAATTGATAAATATGTCCAGAAGCAGATCACTTCTCACCACCTCTACTTTTCAGTTGTTTCCTGGATCTAAGACACAATCTTCTCTTGCCRGATGACAGTAGTATCCTCACTGGGCTCCTGCTTCTGCCCTCTTCYCTCCTCCCTCCCCTTCACTGGGTTCTCAACCCCAGCAGCATGAGGGAACCTTTTTAAAATGYGTGATCAGGTAGCTTACTTGCTTATAACCACTGTTCTAGTGGTTCCACATCTCACTTACATTAAAATATTAAAAACCAAAGTACTAACTGGGCCTTGGGCCCTAAGCTAAGAGATCCCCTCCACTWTTAAAATTCCATCCATTTTTCTCCCTCTCAAGTATCAGTAAGGTGTTGTCATCCCTGCCCTGCTTCTGGGGATTGAACCCAGGGTCGCTCTTATCACTGAACTACACCCCTAGCTCTTTTGGTGGCTGAATTGCAAACATCCAACCCCAGCTTGCCGAGTCAGTAAGGTATCTTGACATTTCTATTTAAATTTGCAACATCTCTCCAACATGGGCAGTCCTTATTTATTCTTTCTGAGATTTTTTTTTAATGACTTATTTTTAGTTAATGCTGAATTCCCAGTGCTTAGAATAGTCTAGCACATTGCACGTGCCCAGGGAATATTGGCTAAGTTAATAAAAATAACTGGAATGCCACTGGGCATTGTGATATGTGAGTTATGTATACTACCTCATCTAAGGCACACAACCATACTCTGAGGAAGGCACTTTTGCGTTTTCTATTTCACAGATGGGGAACAGAGGCTGAGAAAAAGGTAGTGAGAGGAGACCAGGTCTCTGGCTTGGAGGCTTGCTCATCAGGGCTGATGTGTACCCCCTCTCCCTGCAGGTTCCCAGCGAGGTGCAAGTGCCAGTGCCAGTGCCAGTGCCAGCGCCGTCTGCCGACCCGGCGCGCCCCCACGCGTGCCCGGATTGCGGCCGCGCCTTTGCGCGCCGCTCCACGCTGGCCAAGCACGCACGCACGCACACGGGCGAGCGGCCCTTTGCGTGCACCGAGTGCGGCCGGCGTTTCTCGCAGAAGTCAGCGCTGACCAAACACGGCCGCACTCACACAGGCGAGCGGCCTTACGAATGCCCAGAATGCGACAAGCGCTTCTCTGCCGCCTCGAACCTGCGGCAGCACCGACGGCGTCATACTGGCGAGAAGCCGTACGCATGCGCACACTGCGGCCGTCGTTTCGCGCAGAGTTCCAACTATGCACAGCATCTGCGCGTGCACACGGGCGAGAAGCCGTACGCGTGCCCGGACTGCGGACGAGCTTTTGGCGGAAGTTCGTGCCTGGCGCGCCACCGACGCACGCACACGGGCGAGCGGCCTTACGCATGCGCCGACTGCGGCACGCGCTTTGCGCAGAGTTCAGCACTGGCCAAGCACCGGCGCGTGCACACTGGCGAGAAGCCGCACCGCTGTGCTGTGTGCGGACGGCGCTTCGGCCATCGCTCCAATCTGGCAGAGCATGCGCGCACGCACACAGGCGAGAGGCCCTATCCGTGCACGGAGTGCGGCCGCCGCTTCCGCCTCAGCTCGCATTTCATCCGCCACCGTCGCGCGCACATGCGGCGCCGCCTGTTTATCTGTGCCGGCTGTGGCCGGGACTTCAAGCTACCCGCGGGCGCCACTGCCACCGAGCGCTGCCCAGAGTGCGAGGGCAGCTGAGCCAGCGTGGGGTTGGAAGCGTCCGAGTGGGGAGGGCCACGTTGGAACTTCAACCTGGCTGTGTTAACCTGGMTGGCTCCTCCCCGGCAGCCGGGTCTGGGAGAGGGTGGGTTGGCCGGCCTGGCTATCGTGGGTCTGGGAGACAAGGAAAGTACCCTACCAGGGTCCCTGGAAATGGTGCCCACCTCCCACTCACTACATCCCCTTGGCCCGTATTAGTGAATAAAGTATTATATCTTCACTCCACCCGTGCCTGTGAGTGGAGTGGGTGGGGAGAGGTGGAAGATTGGAGCGTTTTCCATTCCTGGTTGTTGTGGAACTAAGTGGGGCTATAAGGCTAAAGATGCTTCCTGGAATTGGGCTGGGGTGGGAATCATCCACACTTGGCCTTTGGTTATCATGTTCTCATAACCTCAGATCTGAAAGGATGCATAGAGCAAGTTCCAGACAAATAGTATTGCGTTCTGCAAAGTTTTGGTAAGCAAGGCATGACCTTGGCGTATGGGGAGGGAAGAAAAAGTATACCCGTTAAAATTTTTAGTATTTTGTGTTAGCTCACTTTCACCCTTAAAACATCCTTTTGTCTCGATTTTTGCAGATATAGGGAGCAAATGGCAGAGCAGGGACAAGTTGCCAGGCTGGTTCAATAGTTGTGGTTTGGTTTCAACTGAAGTTTGATGCAGTTTAGAGGTTCRTGGTTGGAAACGTTAAAGCTGGGTCTTAAAGGTCAAGAAAAAAATTAGGACTGGGGAACATGGAGAAAGCCCCTAAAACTGCATGCAACACTCATTACAGTTTGCAAACATCCCCTGGGTTAGAATGTTAGGAACAAAAAGCAAGGAGGTTGGTGGGAGATGGACTGAGGGAAACCAGGTTAAAGGATCTAAGGCAGAAAAGAAGCCTGGAAAGATCAGGAAAGGATGAACTTGACATCCCTGAGAAGCCATAAGTTCAGGGCTGCAGGGGTAGCTCAGTGGTGGAGCACTTGCCTAGTATGCATGAAGCTCTGGGTTTGATAAAAAAAAAAAAACATCCAAAACAAAGAGCTATAATTCAGGACAAAGGGTGGTCCTAGGTTTGAGGGAAAGGAAAGATGGGACTATTAGCTGTGTGACCACATGGCAGTGTCCCTGAGAAGGGACATTGGGATGAAGGGCAGGATAGAAACTGGAGTGGGGACATTTGTCACACCCCAGTCTGGACATGTTTAGTATGAAGTAAATGTGGAAGGGTCAGGGAGGTCATTGAAAATAAAGACACCAGATTAGGTGGCCTTGACACCATGTCCATCTCCCAAAAGGAAGTTTTGTCTGGGAGATGAAGAGGTGAAGTTTCATGAAGGAGGGAGTGGTCAGATGCTAGATGCTGCTGTGATATCAAGTGCATTCATCTTGTGTGTGATGTCTGTGGGAGAATGAAGTAGTGCAGGTGAGTGAAGACAACTCATCTGGAAGGTCTGTTGTACAAAACTACAGGAAAAGTAGCTGGAGGTTTGATGATTTAGTTTTGTCAAAAGGGGAAGATTCAAATATGCTTTATGTACTATTGGGGCAGGCTAATGAAAAAAAAAAAAAAGCTGGGTAAAAGGGTGGGCACCTATTGTCTCAGCTGCTCAAAAAGCTGAGGCAGGAGGAACACTTGAACCCAGGAGTTTAAGACCTACCTGGGCAATACAATGTGACCCATCTCTTAAAAAAAAAAAAAAAAAAAAAAAAAAGACAGCTGAGAACTGTGGCACATGCTTATAAACCCAGCAACTTGGGAGGCTGAGCCACAAGATCACAAGTTCAAGGCCATCCCAAGCAATTGGTGATACGGTCTCAAAAAAAGGACTGGAGATGTAGTTCAGTGGTGAAGAGCTCCTGAGTTCATCCTCCAGTACTCCCTCTTCCAAAAAGTTGATTACATAAAAGGGAAGGAGATAATAAAGAAGGAATAAGCTGGGCATGGTGGCGCACTCCTGTAATCCCAGTGGCTCTGGAGGCCGAGGCAGAATTGTGAGTTCAAAGCCCCAAAAACATGGTGCTAAGCAACTCAGTGAGACTGTCTCTAATAAACACAAAATAGGGCTGGGGATGTGGCTCAGTGGTTGAGTGCCCAAGTTCAATCTCTGGCACCAACCAAAGAAGAAGAGGGAATAAAATTGGAAACTATTAATAAGATTCCTCTTATCACTGGATAGAGACAGGAAAGGTGGGCTCAGAGACGTAGAGCTGAAGCAGTTCCAATCTGATGGATTCTGTTTTACTTGGGAAGGATTCACTGGATAAGAGGACAGGAGAGTGGGGCCTTCGTATGAGAGGGATAGCAAGTCAGTGACCATTGTTAAATCTCAATTTTTTTTTTTTTTAATGGCAATACTGGGGGTTGAACCCAGGGCCTTGCACATGCCAGGCAAGTACTGTACACTTTAGTATAACCCTAGCCACAAAAAGTAGTTAAAGGTGCTTTTCTTTGTATTACCCTGCTCTGTGAGATGTAGGCCATAGGTATTTCAGATAGGAAAGTGACGTGCCAAGATTACACAACAGATAAACTGTACAAATTCAACAGTGTAATTTACTTGGAGAGGAAGAACAAGAAATTGACCTAATTGATATGTGGTCTTCAATTTTATGAAGGTGGCCATGAGAAGCAGCAGCTCCCTTCTGCTCTACATCAGAGATCTGGCCCTGATTTGTGTCTCTGATGGACCCCTGAAAGCTTTGAGTTGAAAAGGCAAAATAGAACTACAAACTAACAGTTATTTAAACTGTGTACTAGGCTATTATTTTCATTTTACAAGAGATGAAGTAAAATGATGACTATCATCCAGCCCCTAAGTATCTGAACCCAGAGAACCTGGTTCTGAATATGAACTGTTAACCAACACTGTATATAGCCTCTGATGTCCTCTATAGGTCCAGAAGTGGGAAGACTTGCATGAAATTCCTGTAGGAATTTACTAACAACTGGATCACTGCCCTGCAGATAGAAGGTAAAATAGAGAACTGTGAGGACTGGGCTCAGAGACACTCCTGGTGCCCTTCTGCAATGCTACTGATAGCCTACCTAGCCACCTCAGAAGAATCGAGAAGTTAAAACCATTTTATTGGGGGAGAAAACACCAGAAGGCTATCTTCTGGAGGCTCTTGGGCCTTGAAAACTGGGAAATGGGACCCTTAAGCCCTGATTTGTTAGGAAAGGACTAATTAATAAGTTCTGTAGCCAGGCCACCCTCTGCTTCTCAGGTGCCATGCTGAGTTGCAGGTTCTGATCCCATGTTTCTATGTTGAGGTCTGGCTTGAGGACTCATGGGCAAGGTCTGCAGGACCCATAGTCTGGTCTTCAGAGATGGCCCCATGGGACAAGTCTGTATACTTGCGGGCTGAGCCACGTGACAGATGAACGGGGTAACGTCGCCGGTTGGTATCCATTTTGGAGAGCACTGCTTGGGGCAGATCCACATGGCAACGGGCTGCTAATGCCACCAGATAGATGAGGACATCACTAAGCTCTTCTTGAAGGGCTGCCCGTTCCCTTAGGGGCCAGGCTTTGGGGCCAGGTTCTGCATCAGACTTCCACTGACTGGGGGCAAAACAAAGACAATCACATATAGCTTCTAGCTAGGACAATGGGCTCTATCTCCCTAAGGAGCACTTTCAGTCCCTGCAGCAATGAACTCCCATCTCCCAGAAAGTTCCTCCAAGGATAACCCAGAATTGGGTTCAACCCTGGTACCAAAAAAAAAAAAAAAAAAAAAAAAGACGTCACGATTCTAGATTTTTTAAAATTAGTTAATTTATCATCATCATCAGTCTCCTTCCACTGTGAAGGTTGTCTGCTTTGTTCAAGGTCATATATCTTGATTCTGTTTTTGAACCTTAACTATTGAACCAGCCCTACTTACACACACACCCCATATACATATATATAAAGTTATACATGGACACAATATCTTTATTTTCTTTTTTCTTTTTTGGTACCAGGGGTTCAACTCTGGGGAACTCAACCACTGAGCCACATCCCCAGCCCAACTTTTTATATTATTTAGAGACAGGGTCTCACTAAGTTGCTTAGTGCCTCACCATTGCTGAAGGTGGCTTTGAACTTTCGATCCTCCTGCCTTAGCCTCCCAAGCCACAGGGATTACAGGTGTGCGCCACCACGTCTGGCTAATACCTTTATTTTGTTTATTTATTTTTATAAACAAARCTTGTTTATAAAAATAAATAAACAAAATAAAGATATTTTTATTTATGGATGGAACCCAGTGCCTTACATGTGCGAGGCAAGTGCTCTGCCGCTTAGCCACAACCCCAGGCCCCCTTTTTATCTTTTGAGCCAGAGTCTTACTAAGTTGCTTAGGTAGGGCCTTGCTATATTGCTGAGGCTGGCTTTTGAACTCCTGCCTTAGCTTCCCAAACTGCTGGGATTACAGGCATGTGCCACTGCACCCGGCTCATGTCTTGATTTTAATTGACTGGTTGATACTAATTAGCCTCTTTAATGGTCTCCCTGTCTCATTCTCTCAGTGATTTAATTCATCCTGCAGGTACAGTTATCTTTCTACTACTCAAATGTGGTCAGGTCTTCTGTCCAAACTTCATCACTCTCAAGCCCCAATCCTACCTTTCTGGGTTCATCTCCAGCCCTGCTTTTGCATAGCTCTATCACTCATCATCTGGATAACTACCAAATGGCTATGATGTGCCAGGCAAATGGACACACCCGAGAACAAAATAGATACAAAATCCCTTMTCTTTCTTGGGAAGATGATACTGGAGGAGGATGAGATTCTCTCCAAGTTTAACTTGCCTTTTCTGGCCTCACTACCATTGCAAACTCCTGTCTGGAATACTATACATATGTGTTCTAGAGAAAACCTTGTTTTCAGCCCCAGAGACAAAGGTAAAGGGCTATTACCACAACTCCTCCTTACTATCCGGGTCTATCTTGTATTTTCACACTTTCTTTCCCTGGAGACTGGGTGCTCCCAGAGGGTTGATACCTGGGAGTCATCTCAACCCCAGCACCAGGCACAGAGACCAGCAGTGAGGAGGGAAACTGAATCCATGAATGTTTGAGGATCACACAGTTTCTCCCATCCCCCACAACAGACTGTTCCAGAAAGCTTCCCATCTACTCACAAGAGTTCTGCCAGCTCTCCCACTTCCCCGACCAAGGCCAGTAGGAGGTTCCGAGGCTGGTGGAACTGGTCCCAGTCCCGCTCTGCAGCAAACTCTGCATGGAGACGCCGGCTGGAATAAGATAAAGGAGTAGAAGCCCAATTCCCAGGGTTAGTGGTTGGGGGAGGAGCTGCAGAGCCCAGGCAGGTACCCCAGTGATACGTAAAGGGGGCTTGGAGTCAGAGGATTCTGCAACTAAATCCGTGGATGGTCTTGAATAAGTAATTTCCTCTTTATGAGACTTGGTTTTCGCATCTGAAATTCAGCGTGCCCCTGCAGACACTTTAACCTCTAGCCGTACCTAACAATACTTTATTATTCCATTGCTAATTTTGAARTTTCCTCCACTTGGAATATCCCTATCTTTGCACATCTAAGTCCTGCGTATTTTACACTTTCCCTAAGAAGCTTTTTTGATTTCCTCCAGCAAAAATTAATGTTTCCTACCTCTCCGCACTTCATCTGCCCCTGTTGGGTGGTACACCCACTCCGGAAGGGCGGAGGCAGTATAGACTCCTGGGGCAATTTCCCCGCTTTAGTTGTGAACTGCTGAGCCCACTTTGCTTGAGAGGTTTAGAGGCTCACCAGGGGTCAGCCAGCACTACTGCTRGTCATTTTTCCCCACCACGTGGGAGGACCCGTCCCATGGCATAGAGGAAGGGGTCAATCTCTCCACCCGAACCTGGTCGTGGGTTGCTTACATGTCCTCCAGCGTGGGTTCCGGGCTGAAGCTGAATGARCCGGCGGCAGCAGCAGTATCCTTTCTCCCAGCGTCCCTCTGGGTATCACCTCCGGCACTAGACATGCTGCACAACCCACTAAGACGCCACTGCACAGAACTCCGCGCCACGCTGGGAGCCCGCCTCCAGGGCCCCTAACCAATCACGGGCGAGCTCGATTGCTTCACGGRGTAGTGCCGGCGGAGAAACCAATCACCTGTGTGGAGTTTGCTACAGCCCGCCCCGTATCAGGACTGGACCAATCTGAGGAGCTTTAATCCTGTAGTCCCTTACCTCGGAGAATTCTTCCGCCTAAGAAGTCCGCGGTACCAATTTGACACGGAGGAAAGGACAGGGAAGCGGGAGGAGAGGGCGTAGCCGTTTTACTCCTTTGTGGGCGCCAGATGGCGCCAAAGCAAAATGCTAGGTTAGGAGGCCGAGGGTGTGTTTGGCGGGAAATTCCATAAGTGAATGTAYCCTCCGCCTGCATTAAATTCGTCAGGGTTTAGGGACTCTGAAGATCCTCTAGACCAGCCTCCACACTAKTTGGATGCGATCGAAGGGAAAGAATGGAACAAAGTCGGGACCACGACCTAGGTCTTTTGTCCCACTTCTGCTCCCAGCCCCGGCTGATTGCTGTGGTTGGAAGGAGTTAACCCCCATTTCTGTCTCAAGGAACCAGTCTGTCCTCCTCCCTACCCGCAACGTAGATTACATGACATTGAAATRTGTGACCCATTACAGATTGGCCTCTGCCACCTCTCCAGACTCATGTGTCTCTATCGCGGCYATACCACACACAAAACCACCAAGCTTGCTGGGGAATTTATGAGGTGATCATGGAATTGTTACTTTGGCTGAGACCCGCTGAGTTGTTATATATATGACCAAGGGAAGAGGTTTTTTTTTTTTTTTCTCTCTCGGCACTGGGGATTGAACCCAAGAGCACTCTACCCTTGAGCTACATCCCTACCCCTTTTTATTCTTTGAGACTGGCTCTGACTACATTGTCAGTCCGCCTCGAATTGGCGATCTTCCTGCCAGTTGCTGACATTACAGGCGTTCGCCACTGCACGCAGAGAAAAGAGATCTTTGTGAAACACAGGAACTTGAATTTTGTCGAATCCAAGCTTTATAGAGAATTATTTATTTTCACATACCTATTAAGGTYGCTATGTCTGTTCTCCAGGAGTTCAATGAGGCATACAGTTTAATGGAAGTGAAAGACTAAGAAAGTGGAAGAAAAGACAGATTTTAGAAATTAATATTCCAAAAGGGCAGAGGAACTGAAGGATGTAGTTCTGCAATAGAGTGTATGCTTAGCATCTCCAGTGCCAAAAAATAAATAAACAAAAATAAGTCCCCAAAGTACTGCAATTCCACCACTAGGCACAAGTTTTATTAGCACCTGTGCTATAATACTTGAAATTGTGACAAATATTAAGGTAAAAATTAAATGTTACCATAGTTAAAACACTGTAAATCTGGGGACAGTGGTACATACCTGTAATCCCTGTGATCTGGAGGATCAAAAATTCAAGGTCAATCTGGGCAATTTAGTGAGCTGTTTCAAAATAAAATAGCTGGGGATGTAGAGCTCTTGCTTAGCATGCATGAGGTCCTGGGTTCAATCCCCAATACCACAAAAAGTGTTTAAAAATATTTTTAGATAAAAATAAAGCAAGCCAGTAGCAGCGGTGCAACCCTGTAAGCCCAATGACCCAGGAGGCTGAGACAACAGGAGTGCAAGTTCTTGACAATTTAGTGAGATCCTGTCCCAAAATAAAACAAAACAGAGATAGGGATATAGCTCAGAAATACAGTGCCCTGGGTTAAATCCCTATTACCCTCCTCCCCCCCCCCCCACCCCCCCAAAAAAAAAACACTGTGAAGAGGATGTGACAGCATGCATGAGATCCTGAGTTTGATCTTCAACATTGTCCATACCCCCCAAAAAAATAACACTTATGAAAAGTGATTAGGGGCATCTGCAGATTGTGTGGTTCAGGAAAGAGGTGATAAGCACTATTGGTTACTACTTTTTGCCCTCCTCCATGTGCATACACACACACACACACACACACACGCACACACAGAGCATACACACACTCTCACACACATACAGAGAAAGTGTTTCAAAATAAATGGGCATTTGATTTGTGTGCTGCTAAACTGATGAGCAAAATGAGAGTGCTGAATTAGCCACTGGATTAGGCAACACAGATTGGATATAACAGACAACAAAAAAAGARAGGTATTGGATAGCTCTGGCTTGACTAACTAGATGGGTAGTTTTGGTATTTGCTGAAATGAAGACATAGAAGACCTGGGAGTTGGGTGGGAAGGAATATAATTAATTGAGATTTAAGACATGTTCATTCCTAGCAGTTTTCTTTCTTTTTGGTGGTTCTGGGGATTGAACCCAGGGCCTCACACATGCTGGACAAGTGCTCTACCACTGAGCTATATCCTCAGCCTATCATTTTTTATTTTGAGACAGGGTCTCATTAAATTACTGAGCACCCTGAGTTGCTGGGATTAGTGTGCCTCTGTGCCTAGCCAGACTTGTCAATGGATTGATGATGATGCCAGCTTCCACCACTATGAGACACCAAGAACTAGAAAAGTGGGAAAAGAAAGGGTGTTAAGGTCCCAAAGGTCTACTTCATTTGCTCATTCATTCATTCTTTTATTCATTCAATATATTCTGATCATTAACTCTGGATCAGACACTGTTGTAGGTGCTAGGAATACTGAACATCCCTGCCATCTTGGAGCTTACATAGCAGGGGATAATTTTAAAGCACATCAATACATTCTCAAGATAATTACAGATTAGGATAAGAGGTGTGAAGCAAATAGGGTGATAAATTTTAGAGTAGCTGGGTGTTGGCTGGGAGGTCAGAGATGACTTTTTGGGGAGTTTTTCCTTGGTTGTTTTGGTTTTTGGTGCTGGAGATCAAACCTAAGGTCTCTGCTCTGCCAATGAGCTACATCCCCAGCCAATTTGATTTTTTATTTTGAGAAAGAGTTTCATTAAGTTGCCCAGTCCAGTTTGGAGTTTGGGATTCTCCTACCTCAGTTTCCCAAGTAGCTGGGATTACAGGCATGCACCACCACCATACCCAGGCATGTACCACTAATTCTTTTTAATTGTCCATTATTATTTCAAAATAAATTTTCAACAATTTAATGTACCAATGTTCTATCAGTTCCATTTTTCTCTTTCCCCAAAGATCTTTAGGTCCGGTATGGACTGATTGCTCTCTAAGCCAGCCATTCAGCTTTGCCTTCACTTCTCTGCTGGGTTCCATTTCCTGGCTCCCATGTTTTACTCTTTCTCAGTTTGCCCCCCCCTTTTTTTTTTGCTGGAGCATATTTTCCAGCTGTTTTTGATTTTTGTTGGTTGGTTGGTTTTGTTTGGAGGTGCAGGGATAGAACCCAGAGCCTCATGTATACTAGGCAGGTACTCTACTATTGAGGTTAGCCACAGCCTTCCAGTTGTTTCCTGAAAGTGTATGGGATGAAACCAGTTTTACACTTTGCATATACTAAAAATATTTTTATTCTACTTGTTTGAAAAATGTAGCTTGGGGGGCTATCATGGTGGCTCAGAGGTAAAGTGCTTGCCTGGTACGTGTGAGGCCCTGGGTTCAATTCTCAGCACCACATACAAATAAATAAATTAAATAAAGGTCCATCAATGACTAAAAAAATATTTTTTAAAATGTAGCTTGGCATAGAATTCTGCATTACAAAATCATTTGCCCTCAAAATTGTGAAGATACTACTTTTAGCTTCCAATTGGATATTGAGAAGTCTGATATCTCAAACTTTTGTGTATTATTGTGGTGATTTAGAAGCATGGGTTCTGAAGTCAGATTGCCTGTCTGATACTGGACAGATTTTTTTTTTTCTTGGAGAGAATTTTTGTTTATTTATTTATTTATTTTTAGTTTTTGGCCGACACAACATCTTTGTATGTGGTGCTGAGGATTGAACCCGGGCTGCATGCATGCCAGGCAAGCGCGCTACCGCTTGAGCCACATCCCCAGCCCTAGACAGATTTCTTAATCTCCCTGTGTGTGTATCAGCTTTCTCATGTGCACAGTGGGGTTGTTGGAAGATTGAGTTAAAATATATTAAGGACGTAATACTGCCTGGTGCAAAGTACATACTGTTTAATCATTTGCTATTTTTTTTTTTCCAGAGATACACATGAAAGTTTGTCAGAGTTGACAAAGGCACATCTCTTCATAGACAGCATAGACAGAGAAAGGAAAAAACAGTATTATTGTTAATAGGGCATTTTGTACTTTAATGAAATTTGCATATGTTCTAAAATTCACTGCTCTGGGAATTCAAGAAATGGGTGACTTAAAGATTTTAAGTTTTAGGAAACATGTATTATTCTTTTTAATTTCTTCCTTTTTTTTTTTTTTTTTTTGTATCAGGGATTGAATGAGGCACTTGACCACTGAGCCACATCCCCAGCCCTATTTAGTATTTTATTTAGAGACAGGGTCTGAATTGCTT